TTACAGTTTTTCACAATTGCTAAAACAATAAACCCCGTTCTCTGAACCAAATTCTCAGTGCCGAAACCAATTTGTCGAATAAATCACTCTTTCTGCAAAACCATAAACAAGTTCAGGCACTTAGACTTTGTTAACAAATCTCATGCATTCTTTTTGCTAAACTCTAAACACATTCTCGCTCACTAAAACACAATTTGCACTCTGATGACCTTGTGTTGCAAAACACTAAACAGAGGGCAGCAGAACTTAAACACAACTAAAGCACAGATGTCATCGTTTACACACAACGATTCAAAATTGTTCACACTTGTTTCTAATTATGTGATGAGAAGGTACAAATCATAAGCCAGTTCAAAGTGCATAGATGGCACGGGTACATCCATCAACTATGGATAACAATATGAGAGGTAGAGGAATATGAGGTGTTGGACAAAAGAGACAAAGAAGAGTAAGACCTTCCACCATACAGCACTTTCCTCAACCCAACAGAAGAGGTTTTGTCTGCATGGCGGTGGAAAGTCTATGACCAAAACCCATATACCAGGGAAAATCTCTTACAGGCAATGGAACTGGCCTGTGGTGAGATAGACGTCCAGTCTTGTCAAGGCTGGATCCGCCACACCAGAGGGTTTGTTGCCAATTGCCTGGGAAGGGACACCATTGCCTGTGATGTAGATGAAGTCCTCTGGCTGGGCCCAGCTCAAAGACGTGATTCTGAGGCAGAATAATCTTTCTGATGTGTTTTTCTTCTTCTTCTTCTTTGATCGTAACATGGTTTTTGGTAAATTCACTATACAATAAACCTTTTTTGTTTTAACTACATGCCCTGGATGCTGTGTTCTCCTTTTTTTGATGTAGTGTCTAATGACTGAGCTGCAGTGTGTATATGATTGACTCATTTGTGTATGATCTGAAAGCATTGTTTGGTTTTGAGTGCTGGTGACATGGTTTTGAAGCAATTGCTTGATTTTGCCAGACGAGTCAGAGGTTTTGTGAATTTAGTTTGAGTATTTTGATTTGTGTTTAAGGTTTTGAGAAAATGAGTGGTGGTTTCAAGAAACGTGTTTTAGCAATTCAGAAAAACTGTAAGAGTCAGCTTTGGCTATGCTGAACTTTTACTCTTTGTCGTTTGCTGTGCTTGTTATTATATTTTAATGTTTTTGGTTTTCCAAACTACTCACAGATTATCATCTACATTCCTGTCCTTTACCTCCATCCAGTGACAACTCAAAGAATTACAAGAAGCTCTGGACTTCACCTGCCACACAAAATACACATCAGGGCTCCATGTCATTTGTTATCTTTAATGCATTTAAAGGGTTATTTTGAAGCATCATGAAGAGAATATACATATATAAAATCCAGAAATTATTCATTTAAAGCATCCTGTGCTGCATTACTTTTCATTTTCGTTACTGTTCATTTTTGTATTGTGAAGATTCAGAGCTGATTGTTTGTTTTTATGTTCTTCTTTCTTATTTTCATAAAATAAATCAAATATAGCACATGCAAATTAGGTTAAATTTTTGCCAGTGTTGTTTTGCTTTCCAAGTCTGATATCTCTAGCAGTCTTTTTATTCCATTCCTTAATTGGGCAGCTACACTATGTCTTACAGATTATTTATAAAACCTATAAAACCTGCTTATAAAACAGGAAAGAAAGGACAAGTTAGGAATCCTGGCTAACATAAAAATCTGAATTGGATGTGGCTGTGCATTTACTGAATGTATAATATACAGTATGTGGTTGAATATAATGTATATTCCAGTCTCGTTTAACAATATACAAAGCAGGTTATACTGTATTTTGACCTCTGACAAACTGATTTGGACATATAGTATTCAAGCTACATTAAATCTTTAAATGTGTATGCAATATATAGGAGTGTAATGAATATGTACAGATGGGTGATAAATAATAATAATAATAAAAAAAAACTACATAAAGTGTCCCAATAAGATGCTGGCCCACCATGTGCCACAAGAACAGCTTCAGTGCACCTTAGCATTGACTTTAAAATTGTTTGAACTCTACTGAGGGGATGAAAACCATTCTTCCAAAAGATATTCCCAAATTTGCTGTTTAAAAGCTGCGAAACATTGGTTCAGCATCTCCCATAGGTTTTTACAGTTTTTCTGAATTGCTAAAACACGTTTCTTGAAACCACCACTCATTTTCTCAAAACCTTAAACACAAATCAAAATACTCAAACTAAATTCACAAAACCTCTGACTCGTCTGGCAAAATCAAACAATTGCTTCAAAACCATGTCACCAGCACTCAAAACCAAACAATGCTTTCAGATCATACACAAATGAGTCAGTCATATACACACTGCAGCTCAGTCATTAGACTCTACATCAAGAAAAGGAGAACACAGCATCCAGGACATATAGTTACAACAAAAAAGGTTTATTGTATAGTACAGTTTTTCACAATTGCTAAAACAATAAACCCCATTCTCTGAACCAAATTCTCAGTGCCGAAACCAATTTGTCGAATAAATCACTCTTTCTGCAAAACCATAAACAAGTTCAGGCACTTAGACTTTGTTAACAAATCTCATGCATTCTTTTTGCTAAACTCTAAACACATTCTCACTCACTAAAACACAATTCACACTGTGATGAACTTGTGTTGCAAAACACTAAACAGAGGACAGCAGAACTTAAACACAACTAAAGCACAGTTGTCATCGTTTACACACAACGATTCAAAAT